CTTGCCCTTCTGAGACTACAGGAGAGAAAAAACAAGCTGAGAAGAGCGTGGTCTGGGAGAAGCATGGAGCATCGTGAAGGGTTCTGGCCGTCTAACCATGCTTCACACTAGGATCTCAGTGGATCTCGCCTTGCCCTTCTGAGACTACAGGAGAGAAAAACCAAGCTGAGAAGAGCATGGTCTGGGAGAAGCATGGAGTATCGTGAAGGGTTCTGGCCATCTAACCATGCTTCACACTAGGATCTCAGGGGATTGCTGAAGTCCTCAGCGCACTCTGCCCGCTGCTGTCGCAGAGGTGAGCAGCAGGGATGCAAACGTGTCCTTGCACAGGGGTGAACAGTGGGGCAACAAACTTCCAGAGGCACTGGAATGCCTGGGAGAGCCACAAGTCAGCTGAAGAATACTAAACAGACAGCAGCAGCTAGGAGATGCTGCCAGAGGCTACAAGGAGAGAGAGAAGGTGCCACTTATCAGCTAGCAGGAGAAAATCCATTCCACAAGGGCTTGGGAGGCAACTGCAGAAAGACAAAGAGGAAAGGAGAGGGCAAAGTCTTTGTCAGATTCAGCTTGTAAGAAAACAGCACTTGGTGGGGCCATGACACAGGACGCGGCTGAAATAACCACGTCAAAAGTTGCAGCTGTTGAGCAGCTCAGAAGGGGTCGGTGTTTGAGCTGCTGATGTTGTCCCCTGGAGTCTGGAGGGAGAAACAGGGACTCAGATCTTGGTGCACCATTGTAGCCTATGTCGGTCCCAGTTCTAGCTTAAACCTCGGTGAACAGCGCGTGGGTTCCGGGCCAGACTCCCAGGAGAGCATTCTCACCTGGATAACTTCCAGCTTCTTCTTGGTCGTCTCTATGAACTGGCAGATGGCCATGTAGATGAACTTGTACTGGGCCTCCGTCTGCACCATCCCTGAGCGTTGGGCCCTCACCATCTGGATGGTCTTCTGGATGTCAATGTCACAGTCCAGCCCTAGCAAGGGGCACCAGGAAAGCTTATGGACACTTCTCGTAAGCCTCGTAGCTTATGGCACTGACCTCCCCTCTCCCAGTTCTCCACCAAAAGCAGTCACAGTGGAGGTCGGCCAAGAAGCTTCCACCTCCCTCCATACTCTTTACTCCTGTATGGACCTTCTATCCCTCCTTCCTGCTCAGCATCTTCCAAGTCTGGCCTTGGAGGAAGAGCCCAAGCTCAGGGAAGGCTGAAACCACAGCAAGTGGATACGGTGCAGAGACCCAGCAAGGACAGCACCACCTTCCCAGGGCTGCGACAGGATCTCTCCCACTGACACCTGACAGTTTCCATCCCTTTGCAGCTGGACTTGAGGGCACAGCCCTACTGGGTAGGCCAATCCAAGACACTTTGGGGTCCTCTTACCCTTGGTGGAGATCGCTTCCACTATCATATCGATGACGATGATGGTCCCAGTGCGGCCGATCCCAGCACTGCAAGAAGAGGACAGAGCAATACAGCTGCTGAAACAAAAGGCAGATGATTCTTGGGAAGGATGCGGCACTGGGAGCGGCTGTTCGGCAACGCCGCGGGAGAGACGGGGGGTCAACAGGCAGAGAGTTTGGTTTGGGGGCGTCAAAGGGGAAAAGCAAATCTCAGGGCTGGCATATGCTTCAAGGTCGGGGGAAGAGCTGGACCAGCAGGACAGACTTTCCACACTCCATCCCATATGAAGGATGGAGAATGCATCAAGCCCCAGCCTCTGTACCAACCTGCAATGCACCAGAACAGGTCCTGCACCTGGCATGCTCTCCTGCTTCTGGTTTATTTGGTCGAGGAAGCTGAGCACTCCTCCTGGCTCGCTGGGCACGCCGTGGTCAGGCCAGCTCAGGTACTGGTAGTGCCAAATCTCACGCACTGCCTTACCCTGGTAATACCAAAACACCCCACTGGTAAAACTGCAACCTGGTCCCAGCCCAGGGAGAGGTGGGTCCGAAGCCAGAGGCCATCTCTGTCTTCTGCATGCTTCTCGGTGATTCCACCAGTATGATTCCAGCCCAAACCGTGTGGGAACAGCAACCCCGAGAACAGCATCAACAGCAGCATCAGCATCAACAGCAGCATCAGCATCAACAGCAGCATCACCACAGCACCCAGCACACATCAGACATCCAGTGCCCACCCGACCCACGGGCTCCACGGCAGCCCTCCACCAGGCGCACTCACGTTATCCGTCGGACACACGCAGAGGTGCCGGAGTTTGTACTCCAACGCGTCGTGCTCCCCAGCGTTCTTCACAAGGTAGGGACCATATTCCTTCGTGCTGCCCACCTCCGGCCAGTAGGGCACACATTTGTTCTGTGGGGCAGAGAGGGCAAGGTGAGGACGGGCAGAAGGCAGGAAAAGGAGAAAGAGCAGAGCAAGGGGAAAGGAGGGCAGCTCCAGGACACCCACAAACTGCTGCTTACCCGCCCTTTTTCTACCTCCCGCGTGGTCATCACGATAATGCGCGTGTTCTCCTGCCACACCATCTGCCAGAAGTCATTGACGGTGGCATCCAGGCAGCCCTGGCTAGCGATGTAGGTCTTGGTGCGCTCATCGGGGCTGATGAGGTTGTTCTGAGCGGGGACAGGGGAAGGTCAGGAGAGCTGCAGCAGCCCTTCCCCCATTGCGGGCCTACAGCCAGCTTCCAAGAGTCTCACCTTGACGTAGTTGGCATTGATATAGTCAGATCCAGGGATATTTGGGTCCCTTCCTTGGAGGACGACTCTGGAGTGATCAACTGGGGTTGCAGTGAAAGAACAAACAGAACCATGAGACACTCTGTGCCCGGCCACGTGAAGCTCCTTCGCTGCCCCGCATCTCCTCATTCACGTCACCCGGCGCTGGCAGCTTGCCCCACGTTTTCACCTCTTCTTCTCCGGGGTCAGACCAATCCCACCCTGTCCTCCCATCTCTCCATCCCTGCGATGCACCATGAGAAGCTAATGAGTCTGATGCACCACCCTCTCCTTCCTTCAAGGACACGAAAAGGCCATGACCTCTCTCACCAGCTATTAAATCCTCCATGCCACGCACCTCGCCACCCACTCTGGAGGACAGAGCAGGCTAAGGCAGGGCCAGGAATGACTTGGACAGCTCTTCATTGCCTGTCCGTGTCTATTTGCGTTTTTATTCTACAGTGGAGAAGCAAGACTCACAGGGCAAGATGTTCTTGTATCGGTTCTTGCTCTTGTTTTCAGGTCTCTGACCCTCGTGACGGTCAAAGAGGTGCTTGGCTTCCTGTTTTTGCAGACTCTGAGAGCAGAAGAGACAACAGTCATGTCAAGGTCACGATGTACGACAGGGGAGGTGGGCGCTCAGAGGGACAGTGGTGACTCCGAGGACACACGGGCATGCTCGTGGGGGAGCAAGGAAGTGAAAAGCAAACTTGAAAAGTCCAGTGTTCATGCCCTTACTGTCTTGGCGACTCATTCTCCCAACCATGAAAAACCACATTTCTACCTCACTGGGTTCACTTAAAGATGGCACTCAATCCCCAGAGGAACAGGTTCCAAACAGAGACTCCTTTCAGAGATAAACTGACAAGAATTTACAAGACACCTGGGAAGTTTGTGTCCACGAAGAAATCAAGGCTGGAGAATGAGGTAGTGCAGAAGGACTTCCCAAAAAGCCAGAATAATGACCCCAGCAGTTTCTTACATCAAATTCCTCCCAGAATCCAGCCTTGGACGTCTCCTCAGATACACTCTTCTTGTTCAGCTCCTGCACCCTGTTCTCAATGTCAGCAGCATTCACCCTCGTAGCATAGTAGGGCTGGGGAAGGGAAAACACAACGGGTTGGCACGAGAGAAGGATGCTGTTGGAGAGCAAAGTCTCCTCTGCGTGCTGTGGAGGAAAGCTGGAGAGGGACACAAAGCAGAAACAAAGAGCAAGTGAATCCCTCCAAAAGATCCCTAGGAAACAGAGGAAACGGGGTTCACCTGCTTGAGGTACACAAAGGAGCCAGACATCTCCTCGATTCCAGTCTTCTTGAAGTGCTCCACCAGATCCGCCAAGCTGTCAAACGTTTCGGCACCTCCAACGGTGTAGCGCCCGTTCTAAACGGAGGAATGGTGTAACATGGTGTAACATCCCACTCGTAACGTTCCTACAGACAAAGCTGATGATGCTCAGGGAACCGGCAACGCCGAGGTGCAAAGCCGTAGGCACCACCCTGGGCCATCTAGAAAAGCGTTTCCTCTGGCAGGGAGGACAAATGGGGGTTTGCCCTGAGAACACAAAGTTCTCAGCACGGTGAACCAAGTCCTGTTCTCAGCAGGTGAAAGCCCAGAGAAGGTACATCGCCCTCAGGTCTCATTTAAGGTCAGTTGCTTCCTGTCCTTGAAATCTCTCTCCACTCTCTGCATCATTCCATGGGAAAGAAACAGGAGGACTTTTGATAGCCAGGTTGGTAACACCCTTCAGACTAAGCGTGGAGGCCTTGCAGATGCCCGTCCTCCTCCTCCAAGAGACTTTAACTCTTTTGATGAACTTGTAATGAGACTGTGACCCCTCCTCTCTCTTTCACCACCAACAACCTGTTCTGGAGCTCTCGGTCACGCAGAGCCCTGCTCTTCCTCTTGAGTCCAAGCACCCAGCACTGCCCATGGTCACCCAGGCTGGGACAAGGACATAAGCAACCTGCAAGGTGACAGCACTTTGATCCAAGTTCAGAAACACTGCTGGTGGCAATCAAACTGACTGAGGGCCCATGCTTTTGAGGACATGATCAGCAGAGACCTCTTCCACTCCCTCTCCTTCTGCTCACCCAACTGCTCACCTCACACATGATCTTGATGTGCGTGACTTTGAGCCGGGCCTTGGGGGCACTGGTTGCCCCAGCTGGTGGAGCATCAGAGCCGGGTTTAAGCTGGTCGGTGAGGACGGACAAGACAAAATCCCCAGGTTTGCTCAGGCTCTCCCGCACCAAGAAGGTCCAAGGGGTGGCTTTGGCCTGGAGAAGCGACTCAGCTGCAGAGCCTGACAGATGCCCATGGTACCATCTAGGGAAAAACAAGAGAGGGTCAGAGGAGAAGGAGAGATGCAGGTAAGTGGATGCCTTGGAGCTGGTAAGTGAAAGACAACACCACTGGGGAAGGATGAGGGAGGAAGAAAGGAAGGGGGAGACAGAGAGGAAACCAAGGGAGGAGCAGGATCTTGGGGAAAAGCAGATGAGACAGAAAGAAGCAGAGAGCTGGCAAGAAAAGGAAAGGGCAAGGGATGAAGCGGAGGTAGAAGGGACCCGGGAGCAGAATGCTGGTGCCAGAGGACACAGTGAGAAAGCACCAAGTGTGACCCAGTTGTGTGACAGGCATGAGCTTAGGTAAAACACGCTTGCTGGCTTGAAGACCAGTTCAGGGAGTGTAGTCTGTGGGTTTTGGCACCTCCCAGCATTACTGGGATTCCAGCCTTCCGAAACTCAAACACCAGGGAAACAAAACCAAACCCCCAGGGAGTCAGAAACTCTCCCACTAGATTCAGCAGCCCCCAGATGGCTGTGTTGAGATCAGATCCATTAAAGAACCATCTCAGCGACCCTTCTTTCTGAAACGCAATCACCTCTTCAATCAAAGGACAATTCCCATTCTCCGGGCACATCGGAGCCATGGGAGCGAACACCAGGAGCCAGCTGGAGCCCGTATTCTGCTCCTGGTACTTATCACTGTTGTTGATCCCTGTGCACGTTCCTCTCCCCAGTGCAAACACCCGGACAGCAGCTCCTTCTCACCTCTCAGCACAAGCATCTCCCAGTTTGACCAGTGCTCTCTGCCTTGCCGCAGGGCTGGACCCAGGGCACAGAGGGTGCAGATGGCACGGCTGCTGCCAAGCCCCTTCCCACCTACAAAGCTCTCAGGTTTGTGCCTGCCTGGTGGGATCTCACTGCACTGTGTGGTGTGAGTGCAAGTGATGGTCACCAGAAGCAGGCTGGGAGACAGGACAACCCTGGCCTCTCCCTGCAGAAACTCCGGATGGCCCAGGTTGTCTCTGGGAAGACCCTCTAGCTCCTCACGCCTGTCCCAAGCTCCACAGGCTCTTTGGACCACACCAGAAGGTCGTGGGGGCACTGCTGGAGCTGCCAAGTAGACATGTGGAAGGCCATGTTCACTGAAACGCTGTCCTGCCTCCACAAAACTCCCTTGGAAGCTGGAGCTAGAGATGCAAATTGTAGAAAGCTGCGAGCTGGGAGATGCTCTGAATCATCCCACTCCTCCTGGTACCCATTTTCTGGTGGACCCTCTACCGAGTCCAGACCCATCTCAGCCCAGGGGCCACCACAGCCCTGGTGCTCCTGCCCCGGCCCCTTCCCGCCTTCCCAGCTCGGTGTCAGGGATGGCTCAATCAGGCCCCTCTGGTCCTGGCACATCCCCATCTCCAGCTGGAGCCATGTTTCTGGGCTCCGTGTTGAGGGACCCTTGCAGCACGGCTGCTGTGCCAGCTGAAGGCTTTGTTCCCTGCATCTCCGTCCACTTCCACGGAGCTGCCTCGGCAGCTGGAGACAAAGCCGTTTCAGCCATCTCCCCCGCTGAAGAGCATTTCAAAACCAGGGAGCTGTTGCATCAGACTGACTTGCAACACCCGTCCCTGCTCCCGCGGGGTGCAGGTGCCGCGACAAGTGCCAGCCAGGCTGATGCGCCGCAGACGAGCCGGCGTGGTCGGAGCTGCGGGAGCAGGTTCGCTGCCCACGGAGCAGCTAACAGCGAAGGCCTGGAGTGCTACTGGTGTCTATGGTCAACTGCACATTGCCAGGGCTATCTGTTCCCAAGAACTGAAACTGGAAACTTTCACGGCGCGGCAGGCGGTAATTTCCGAACCTTCTTCCCAAGGAAGCGTTCGGCCACCATGTGCCCGTGCTCGGATGCCCCCCGGGGAAGGGTTGACTTCTCCTGCTCATCAAAGGTCTCCAGGCCTCCTCTCCACAGGTAGGAAGGGGTTAATGGGTGCCGTTCCCCCCTCCCTTCCCCCAGTGGAGCCCAGCTCTTCAAAGCCACGTGATGGAAAATCACTTGGGGAGAGAGTGAGAGGAGCTTTCGTAAGAGCCTGGGGGGGGGGCAGAAGTTTCCAACCGCAGGGAGGAAGAGAGGAAACTGCAGGGCCACAACCCAACAAGCCAACGGGCTCGAGCGGAGAGGACGGCCAGTGCAGACCCCAGCCCCTCTGCAGCCTGGTCCTGGTCCCAGCAGCGGTGTACCCCGGTGCTTCACCTGCACCATCTCTGCTCCCCATCTCCAGGTGTGCAGGGAGGACCTGTCCGCCCCAGAGCACGGCGTGACGAAGAGGGCAAAACCACCTGATTTGATTTAGGAACTCAGTGTCAGAGACATATGCAAAGCGGGGATGGGAAGGAGACTAAGCGGGCTAGGAACAGCAGGGGACCGTGGTCCCGCTCTCCCCTAGGTGAGCCACCCAGGTCTGAAACAACCAAGGAGGTCTGGGCAAGGCTGAGGGCTTCCACGTAACATGGCACTCTACGGACCACTGCAAACCCATAACTGGCACCACAACCTTTCTTTTTTTAGGAACAGTATATAAATAGCAAAGGCAACAGGAAACCAGAAGCAAAACAGAGCCCTGTTCGGTCTGCTGTGATGGGTCAAGGTGTGCCCAGCTGCTCCTGGGGATGCTGCCCCTGCGGAAGCATGGGAGGTTAGGGGAGGCAGGAGATGCTTTCTGGAGGGTTTGCCCTGGGGATGCAGGCGGGGTGGAAAGAAGGTCACGAAACACAGAGGAGGTCTCATCACAGACACATCAGCTGCTTTGCTTTCTCCGTACCTCTCCGTAGTGGGGTCAGAACAGTTGAGCGGGTATCGCAAGTCAATGATGGTTCCATCTTTGTCCTGCAGCGAGCCCTGTTGCTGCGTGTAGTACTCCACCAGTTCTGACAAGGTGGCAAACTTCTCCCCTCCGTACAGGTCATAGAAATCCCCGGTATTCTGGATGCGGATATGGGTTACCTGATCACCAACCCTGCGGGATGAGGCACAGAGCAGTCCAGTGAGGTGAATGGAAAAGGGGCAGAAAACGTTCTGCATGACCTCTGCCGTGGAACCAGAGCAAACCAACCCCGTGAAAGGAGATGACTGGAAAGAGAAGCTCCTGGGGCAACTTGAGGGAGGGTCTAGAAGATGCTGGGAAGCTCGGGTCCTTTTACAGTTTGGAAAGAACTCGAAGGAATAAGGAAAGGATGAAGACAATGCCACAGGACACAGAAGGATCTAAGCATTCTGCGTATGTAACCCTGGAAAGACAGAAGTTGGGGTCCAAGTCACTTACCGGACTGAAAGAGAAAAATCCCCCTGATTCTTCCGACTGGGTCTGGCCAGAAAGCTCCCATGGACACCTCGTCCCTTCAGTAAGGCTTCGGCTTCCAGCCCACTCAGGTCACGGTGAAACCACCTAGCAGAGGAGACAAAAACAAGACCAAGTGAATAAAAAAGGCCAGGCACTGTTGGGGAGACTTGTGCAGTGAAGAATGGCCCCCGTTCAGCATCCCTAAGAGACACCTACACGGGTGACAGCCAGCAGCTGCATCCATTCCTACTTTCTATCTCCCCCAGCCTATGAAAGGTTTCCATTGAGATACAACTTCCAGGATGATCCCCTCTTTGACCTGTCCTACTCTCCTGGTCCCCCTCCTTACACACATACACTTCTCAGCCTTTCTTACCTCACCATCCTGGAGGGTAGAAGAAGAAGGGGCCAAGTGGCTCCCACCAAAGCAACTCAAAAAACACAGAGGAAAAAATCAGCTCGCGCTGGCGAGAAAAGGGAAGTCGGAGGTCTGCGCTGGAGCACCCAACGCCAAGCTGTTCCTGCACCTCTTGGGAGCTGGCCATGTATCTCTCTGGGGGTCTACTGTCAGTCCATTCAGACCCTCTCCATCCACCCGTCTCTGGAGATGTGCCTTGATCCCTGGCCCCCTGCTCAGTGCTGTGGGGCGAAAGCCAGCGCGCAGCCGGGCACGCGCGGCTCCAGGAACAGGAAGCGCTCTGAGCCATCGACTCCCCAGCCCCAAGCTGCTTTGCACACACTTCTGCTTCTCCTTTTGCGTCTTTCCTCCCCATCCCCCCTGTTATTCTTGGCTCCCGGTCTTTTTTCACACCAGGGTTGACTCTACAAGTGGATCTCGGGTTCCAGCCGTGCTCACAAAACCGAGCTCTGCCCGTCCTCTGTTCCCCTTCTTCCCCAAAAGGCCAGTGAGAGCCATGAGTGCTTCCCACCCCCATGCCCCTTCCGTTACACCAAGGGGACCACAGCTGCCTGGGGTCACCCGCACACCTGCAAGGCTGAAGCGGGCAGCACATCGAGCAATGAAGCACCCTACTAGTACCCTACTACAGGTTGTGCCCACCCAGCCACACAGCTTGGCTCTGCTCACCAGTGAACCCTCTGGGCAGGTGAGTATCCTATACAGCCACAGCGGGCATCCGTGCAAATGCAGAGGTCAAGGCTCAGGCTAGAACTCCGAGCACACCACCACCTTCCTGAAAAAACAGCCCGCCGAGGGACGCGACTGCCACGAGCAGCGGTAGCTCGAGAGGGGCAGGGTGGGAGGTGGTGCAGAAGCTGCCCAGAAAAGCAGACAGAGAGCAGGGCAAACAGCTACCACCTACAGAGGGCCCACACAGTGCCAAGAGAGCTTAGCCTGGGACCTTCGAGATCCCAGTACGGCATGCTGGGACTACAGCACCTTGGACAACCAGTCAAAAAGAAAGAAAACTAATTGTTTGCAGATACCCAGCCATTTCCAGCTACAGCCCGTGACTGCCCTTCTCCATAGACTGCCCTTCTCCTTTGCCCCATCCCTGGAAGTGTTCCAGGCCAGGTTGGATGAGGCTTTGGGCAACCTGGTGTAGTGGAGGGTGTCCCTGCCCATGGTAGGGGGGTTGGAACTGGATGATCTTTGAGGTCCCTTCCAACCCAAACCATTCTATGATTCTACAGCACTGGTTTCAAGGTCTGCAGGTCTCATGAAAGAATGGGAGCTAAGCAGTGGCCAAAGAGGGTGATCCAGCTGGCAGAGGAGCCAGGCTCTTCCCTGGGGCCATCTCAGCCTCCCTGGGGGTGGTGTGGGCAGCAGGAACGGCGAGAGACTTGCTTGTTTCAAGTATCAGCAGCTGCAGACTTCCGTGCACGCCGCCAGGCTGGGAAATCCTGCAAAAAGCTGAAGAGGCTGCGAGCAATGACCGAGGCCAAACTCAAGGGCAAGACAAAAACCAATGACAAAGGGAAGTGCAGGAGAGCCCAGCAGGAAGCTGAGCTTCGTTGCTAGAAAGGCAGCCCAGGCATCTCCACCAGCTTCCTTTGAAATGCTTCTGGTTTCACACACACCATGAGCTGGGATGCGGTGAGCTGTAGGGATCCAGCTGCACTGGCTTAAAACTGATATTAAAATAAAATTAAAATAAAAAAAAAAGAGACTTTAAAGGCACAGAGAGCTGTGGCTCAAGGCAACAACTTCCACACAAAGTTGTAGAAGTTGGACCTAAAAGACTGCACCTAGAGCAGAGCCAGACTAGCACTGGCCCAGGAAACAAATATTGTTTAGTGGTAGGACAGAAACAACAGGAACTTCTGGGCAGAAGTCCCAAAAGAGATTTCCTGATATCAAAAATATATTAGATTATGTAGGGCTGATATGGAGCCACTGCAGACAAAAACTAAAACCTAAGCATTCCTACGTATTATGAACTGGCTGGAGCAGAAAATCTGTCCAAGGAAGAGAACTTCAGCGTGACACAGGGGAAGAGGAGAAGAACCAGGTAGCAAAGAGTCCAGCTCAGAATAGAAAGGGTGAGTTAGCATCAAACCCACACAATTCGGTATCCTCCAGCAGGACAGGCCACAGGGTGCAGTGTAACCCACGTCGGTATTCGTGAGGATACAAATCCCGAATCACACCGTTTACAGAATGAATTTCAGCTCAGGAAAGGACAGGATGGATGCACAAGCCACCTGGGTGTCTTTGATCCAGGCCATCTAATTAAAAACTACCGGTGAAGAGGGAAACATCACAGCAGAGAAGCAATTGGGTGCTCTCTTTGAGGTTGGTCTCCTAAACGGCTCCAGCGTGCAACAGCAGACTATAACCAAGCTGCTAAAAGATTTTTTAAATATAATTAACAGCTCGAGAGATTGCAGCAAAGAGACTACTCCTGTGCTGCTGTTTGGCTAGGTGGTAGGACCTCATCTTGTAAATCCTTTGTGGAGCCCAGCTGTGGCTGGCACAGCAACAAATTTAGAGCAGAAGGTAAATGGAAGTAGCTGGTTTAAAGACATTTTCATCTGGACTGCTGTAAAAAAGACCCTGAGAAACTGGGCAGAACCCAGCATAAGGCCACTGAGGTGGTGAGGAGCCTGGAGGACAGCAGAGACTGGGGCAGGTGGGTTTGTTCACCCTGGAGAAAAGATGGTTAAGGAGGGATTTACCAGCTGTCTGAGACTGCCCAGAGTGGGACTGGGGGTTTTAGAGCCAGATTCTTCTCTGTGGTGCACAGCAAAAGGACGAGAGGCAACGGGCAGCACTTGCAGCAAGGGAAATTCCAATTAGGCATCAGGAAAAATTGCACAGGCGCTGCCCCGAAAGGGCCGTTTGGCCATTGCCATGGGTGCCCAGAGAGGCTGAGGACACCTCCACTCTCAGAGGTGTTCAGGACTGACCTCAACGAGGCCCTGGGCAACCTGACCCAGCTTGGAGGTCAGCTCTGCTGAGAGCGGGGGCCTGGACTAGGTGATCCAGAGGCCAAAACGGCAGTCGAAGGAAGGGCAGAGGAAGAGGTCATGTGTAGAGCTTCTTTCCCCCCTGCACTCCCCAAGCCTCTTTTTGCAGCCCTTGTAGGGTCAACCATCAAATCCGTACCAAATTTAGCATCCCTCGGCAAGGAGTTCCACTGCTCAGCTGCAGAACCACCCTCTCCTTCATCTCTCTCCCTGCCCATTTTTATTAACATCTGGTCGTTGTAAAGAAAGAAAAATCAATAACCGATTCCTGATTCACCTCCACCAAGCTGATCATGATTTTATAGACCCATAAACGTTCATATCCTTCCTCACCTCTTTCCCAGGCTGAAGACTCCGACCCTATTTAGGTGTTCTTTGCACAGAGCTTTCCTACACCTCTGAGCACGTTTGCTGTCCCTCTCAACGTTTCCACTGCTCTTGTGTTGTTTTGGAGACCGGGGTGAAGGTGGCTGAGAACTGCAGAGTTCAAGACGCTGGTGAGACCTGGACACAGTGACGATTTCTGCTATTTGCTCACTGCCACCAAGCTAACATTTGCATAGACGTATGTGATCACAGTCTTCCTCCAGAGGGGTCATGAGTAGTTCACAGTTCATTGTTTCACAGAGGAATTTTGAACTCCTTTTCTCCACAAACATTGTTTTACGTATATTTACATACATTCACATAGATTTACACCTATATTTAATTTCATCTGCTGTCCTAGTAGTAGTGTTGGGTGATAGAACAAGAGGAAATGGGCATAAGCTTAGTCAGGGGAGATTCAGGTTGGATGTTAGGAAGTATTTCTTCTCTGAAAGGGTTGTCAGCCACTGGAATAGGCTGCCCAGGGAGGTGGTTGAGTCCCCATCCCTGGATGTGTTTAAGAATAGGGTGGATGATCTACTTAGGGATATGGTTTAATGGGGATTAGGGACGGTTGGACTCGATGATCTCTAAGGTCTTTTCCAACCTAGAAATCTATGAATCTATGAATCTATTGCCCACTCGTTCACTTATTCATAAGGTCCTTCTGCAATTACTCAGCCAGCTCCCACCCTGGTATCCTGAACCATTTTCTACCATCAGCCAATTTTCTCACCTCACCATCCAGGCTCTCCTTCCAGGTCATTTGGGAATACACAGAACAGCAGGTACTTCAGGTGAAGCCCCTGTGATCTCATCACTGATGACTTCCCTTTGCTGTAGAAACTGGATGTTTATTCCCATCTTCAGCTTCCTATTTTCCACTAATTCTTTACCCAAGAAAAACATCGTCTTCTTTCTTACTCTATTACTTTGGCTTTATTTAAGGACTTTGATGAGGAAAACCTTGTCAAACCATTTTTCAGAAATCCAAGGAAACTGTATCAGCCAGACCTCCCTTATCCACAAGCCTTGCTAAGTCCCTCAAAAACTCCAGTTTTACAAGACAGGATTTGCCTTTACAAAAGCAGACTCTTTAATATCACACCCACTGCTTTCTGTTACACTGTCTACCCTCTTGCCCAGATACCAACTTTATTGGGCAAGTTGGTTTGTGCTTCCCTCACATTTGGGGGTTCTCATCTGGGACCTTTCTGAGAATCAGCGTTGCATCTGTCACTTCTGAGATGACTTTAGACAGGAGGTTTTGCCGTTCTGCACAGAACCGCATCGTAGTTCAGTCGTTAAAGCAGAGTGAAGGCCACCTGGGCTTGGGGAACGGGCAGATGGACCACCTTCCTGTGACTTGCCCAAGTTAGATGCTCTCTGTCAGGCCACGGGACGCCAGGACGGTGCTGGACCACCGTGGTTGCCCAGATCCTTCCCACAGAGCAATGCTAGTGTGGATCCCATCTCCCTACACCATGCCACCGCAGTCCCCAGAGCCGAGCACCCATTTGGACCGACCAGCAAGATTTTATGTCCTGCTGTTCCACAAAGGGCTAGAAAAACTGCAGCAAACCAAGAAATAACCAGGATTAAAGAGGGTCAGCCACCTGCCTTCTCTCAGTACAAAAACGTTCGGAGATGCTGCGGCTGCAGGGCTGGCAGGGTAACCGTAGCGGACTGGGCATCGCAAAATCCTTCTTGCTCTTTATCAAAGCGAGAAGGAGCAAGACTCACAGCAAGAACAACCTAAACCACCACGAACCCCGTAGCTCTTGTTAGAAGGTGTGTTTTCCCCCTTCTGTGCCCAGTTCCTATTGCCAGTATTTTTATTTTTCTCCCCGACAACTCTCGTTTCCTTCCCTTGACCAGCCCTCGCGGCACTCACCCACAGGATGGCATCAGGACCTCGACTCACAGATCCCCACTGATGGAGGACTACCAGCAGCAGGTGGAGGAAGCACCACAGCCCTTAACCAGTGGGTCCTACTAAAGAAAACAAAGCGATACTGGTATTATCAGGACAGTATCTTGGAGACAGTCTTGGGAGAGAGATCAAAGACCCTGCCAGGAGGGGTGGACTCGCACCCTCCTGGCAGGGCTGGATGCTCGTGGCGGTGCCACGGCTCTGGAGGAGCAGCTGGCAGCGCTCCTGCGACTCACCTGGGTCCGATCCGCACGGGCACGGTCCCGAACTCCGCCTGTTCCCAGGCGGACGAAGAAGAAGGTAGCTCCAGGTCAGGCAAACCGCAGGCCTCGAGCAGAAGGTTTAATTTTCACCATTTGCAAAGCACTTCCTGGGCTGTGGTTAATGAATAATTAGAGGGGTGGGGGAAGGCCAAGGCGGGAGAGGTGGATGGAGACGGAAGGGACTGCCTGCTCTTCCTGCCTCCTATCCACCCCTGGCTGGCTACATTCCTGCCTGGTTCGTAACCGAAAGGCACGGAAGGCAACGCCGGACGCGGCTCTCGCACCTGGCTCGTGGCTCCCTGCTCTCCCTGGCCTGACTTCTCCAACCCCAGCCCTGCCATCCTGGTTCCCACCGCCCTCCCCAAAGACCCCGACGCTTCCGAGGGCAACGGGCACGCAAGGCAAGAAGCTGTAAGCGGATGTATCTGACGCCCCTTCACTGGGATGGAGTTGGAAACACCAAATCTCACTCTGGAGCGAGGCTGCTCCGCTACTTCTGTCTCTCTTCAGTCCCAAAAGACACAATTTTGTGTTATGTTGCCCTAATCCAGGCTGCTCCCACACCGCGCCGGTCCCTTCTGCATCTCTCTGCCGCCTTTTTCCTTAGGGCTAACGTGTTTGATTGCGCATTCCGCCGGAAAACAATGCAGCCACAGGCACCGGTGGTCGGAGCAGGACCGTTAACCATCCTGACCCTGCTGGGGACAGGGGTCCCGGCTGCATTT